ATATATATATATATATATATATATAATTACCTTTTCAGTTGTTTCCTTGAAGCAGGATTACACATAGGACTCTGGGTATGACAGAGGGAGGGACAAGACTGACAGGGTTATTCACAAACGGGTGAAGAGTTTGGAGAAGTGAACAATCTAGGACAAGATAGCTGATGTGGAAAAATTCTCCAATTCAGCTCACTTTCCAGATCAGCTATGTCGTCCTAGATTGTTCACTTCTCCTGCCTTCTCCTAACTCTTCACCCTTTTGTGAATAGACCTGTAAGAGATGGTGCTTTGACCACCCAAGTCTCGATCTTTAACCCTATGTTATGACAGTCCTTCTCATTGTGTTAACAACTGATAATTACATCTGCCAGCACAGTACAGACAGGATTAATTGGGGCAAACACAACTCCACAGCTCCCATTATAAACATTATATAGCAATAGAGAACTCAGTAGGATTTTTCAGTCCCGGAGTTTTCAAAAAAAAGCATTTAAAAATGTGAACATCAGTGTTTTAATATGTTTTTAAAGTTGTGCTACATACATGGGAACATGTAACAAATACAAAGGAGATGCTATCCCAATTTTAAGATGTAAAATGTTTCTGGAAGGAGCAATGGCTTAAAGCTAAACAGTAACTGAAAATGAAATTGGGGTGGGAGGAGTGGTAGAGAGCTTGCAGCACTGTTGCTCTATGAAGAGCATTCTTGCTCTCTGCAGGAGATTGTCATCTTAGAATCTGCACACCAGTGTATGCCGGGGTGTTTTTTCACTTATCGCTGCATACAGATTTATTAGAAATCAGCCAGAAAATTTTAACTGGCAGAATATCCTCACTTTTCTAGGTGAGAAGCTTTTCAGCCTCCCCTAGTGCAGCACTGTCAGTTCTCACACCAAGCAGCCATTCATATGCTGCTCGGCACAGAGTGTCAGCTTTAGGTGGAGTGGGCTGGAGCTATGGCTGCAACAGTGCTCCATCCATACTTGCATTGCTTACAGCTTTCTTGCATTTCCTGTAGAGGTGCCGTCACGTTCTGGCTCCCAGCATCTCTACAGGACGAGGAAGGGGGCTGTACAAGCAATGCACATATGGGTGAATTTTTTTTGGATTGTGTCTGTAGTTGTGTGTGCCTGTCAGTGTTTTTGAGGAGCCTTCACACTAGTACAGTGTGTTAATCGAACAGTCCTGTGTGATTAACGCACTGTACCATGCAATCACACCTACTACGGATTCTGTTGTGGGAGGTTCATTGTGTTGCCATTCATTTGAACGGCACCCCAAACACACCTCCCGACCACAGTTCAATTGCCTGCACCACAACGAGCAGTACTGCAATGCTGTGTGTTCCATTGACGTGCAACTTGGGTTGCAACTTAATGACCAAGGACAAATGTGGGTCCTGAGGTTACACAGGTTGAGAACCACTGGACTAAGGTCATCAGTTTTGTAGCCCTGAGGTAAATATCCTTTTGGTGACCTCCTAGGGATGCATCGATAACGATATTTGGGCGAGTACTTGTACTCGCCCAAATGCTCCGATGCCTAGCCCGATACTTCCTGTATCAGGAAGCCGGCTCCATACTCCCTTGTCACTTGTGACGAGAGAGCGTGGAGCCGACTTCCCGGCCAATCAGGATGACGCGCTGCCCGGCTTCCTGATTGGTCGGGAAGCTGGCCAATCAGGAAGCCGGGCGCCCTGTAATGATGCAGCGCAATGGGGACGGCTTCCTTGCTAATGGGGAAGCCGGGTGGCGAGTCTTTACACGCTGCCCGGCTTCCTGGCTAATCAGGAAGTCAGGTGGTGAGTCATTACATGCCGCCTGGCTTCCTGAATATCGGTACTCGGTACCGAAATACCGGTATCTGTGCATCCCTTGTGACCTCTTAATGTAGCACAACGTATTGCTGTCAGAATTCTGCATTAGCTGCAATCACTTTAGTGGAAAGTCTACCAAGACAAGCAATGTATCTAGCAAGACGAGCGAGGTGAAACAAATAAATGGCAATTTCATCTTCGTAATACTCAAATCGACCACAGGGGTGTGGAATTCCTGTCGCCCGACGCCCGGGACATGCATTTTCGGGCGCCAGGCAAGTAGCTTTTTTTTTTTTACATTTTAGCCCTGCTCCGGACAAGCAGAGCTAAATGTACAGCATGGGGTCGCTCGTTTTTATACAAGTGATCTAATTAGATTATTTGTATGAAAGGATTCGTTGAGTGCTGCCGCCATTCCACTGTGTGCCATATTGTGGTAGCCAAGCAGCAGAACTCTCCTTCACGCACAATGTACATTAAAGGAGAACTATGGGGTCAGTGTTTTTCCCCTAAGTGTTATGGGAGGACATAAACGAGCGTCCTCCCATGACCCAAAGCTCAGTATATTGGGAGCTGCAGCTCACTATAATACTGAGACCGCCGCAGCCGACACGGATCCTGACATTACTGTCGGGATCCACCCAGCTGCATGATTGACAGCTGGCCCTGCCTATCTAGAGGCAGAGCCAGCTGTACCCGCCCCCTCCCCCGTTCGTTCCTCCAGTCAGTGCTGGAGGAGCGGGGCGAATCCCTGCAGGAAGCCGTGGGTGACGGTTACGGCTCTCTGCAGGGACAGGATTAAGAAGTGAGCGAGCGCCGGTATGTGTTCCCTCACTTCCTGATCTATAGAGCCGCCTGTGACAGTTTCATTGTCACACGTCAGCTCGAACTATGAGGCTGAGTGAAAATCACTCACCTCAGTCCTCATTTAAAGAGCAAGCTCACTTTCCCAAGTAATATGGGAAAATGGAATTACCCAATCAAATCTGGCCCGGCCTCTCCCAGAAAGCCCCCCCCCCCTTCCCCCGTGGCTATACTTACTTTTCGGTGAACAGTCCTTACCCTCCGCCTGTACAGTCCAGCCCTGTGCATTTAGAATTTTGCTGGCAAATTGCAAGCACTCCTTGGTCAGCGTGGTCAGGTGACCACGCTGACCAATGAGAAGCACTATTTAGCACAGTCAAATACAGTTTTGATTAGGGATGTACCAATACAGAATATTTGGGCAAGTACTTGTATTCGCCCAAATGCTCCCATACCTTCTCCAATACTGGAACTTCTGATCAGCGGAAGATTTCCTCTGACCGGCAGTGCCGCAGGGGAACATGGAGCCAGCTTCCCGCGCAGTCAGGAAGTGGGGTAGCGACTAATGACACACCCCGGTTTCCTGATTGGCTGCGAAGCCGGCTTCCCAGCCAATCAGGCCATTATTCACCGCCTGGTTTCCTGATTAGCTGGGAAGCCGGTTTCCTGGCCAATCACGATCAGGCCGGCCAAACAACATGTAGTCGGCTTCCCTGGCAATCAGGAAGATGGGTGGCATGTCAGCTTCCTGATGGCATGGAGCAGGCTTCCCGGGCAAACGGAATCATTGCATGTGCTCGATACCCAAAAACCTATATCGATGCATCCCTAGTTTTGATTAAAACAATTTTTTGGTATTGGGACAAGTAGATTGTCATGATGGACAAGTAGATTCGGCCCCCGCTTTAGCCCTTGGTCAACTAGTTTTTTATTTTTTTTTATTTCCACACCTCTGGACCAAAAACAGCTTTATGTAGATTTTCTGCAATGATTTTACTTTTCTTTCTTTGACTAAATGTAAAGCAGGAAATGCCTGACTGTCGATATCAACACTGGCTTGTTATGAATGTTGAAGTACTTTTTTTTTTCAAATTTTGGTGTGAAGTTTTCAGTTCTTGACTTTGATTGATAATTTCATGTATTTCTGTGCCATTCTTGCTTACTGTAGAAAAGTACTTTGACATGAAAAAGAACCAGTGTAAAGAAGCATTAGATATCTATAAGAAATTTCTGGCCCGGATGACCAAACTGTCAGAATTCCTCAAAGTGGCAGAGGTGAGTCGAGTCAGTCATGCACCAAAGGGGCCTTATTTAGCTCTTGGCACTGGTACAGTAGCATGCATTGTGCATGATAATACAATTTGAATGCTGCAAAAAGAATCTTGGTTTGCCAACTGTCATTGAACACAAGGCCACTATCACCTAAGTAATGCTTTCTTTCTGCTTGATACCATTGTCATTCTTCTTTGGGTTTGTCTTGTGGACAACCGCAATCTCTTTGTTTTTGTTACTTTGATATAACATTTCTTGCCAAAATGTTTGACTCTATTCCATACTTGTATTGAATTGCATTAGCAGCAGTTGCATGATATTTACAAGACAAAGATTGGCATATGCGTGCAAGTTTTAAATTGCCTGATTACTTCTGTAACGCTTGTGATATTTGTGGTTCGCAAGTGCCACTGTACCAGTCCATAACCTTAGTAAAGTCCCTTTTTCCATCATAATATGTGTTTGTAAACATTCAGAACCCACAACACTCTCCATTGCCGCTGCATGAAATAATGTACACTTTTCTTTTCCCCTTTATTGTGAACTCAGCAAGTTGGAATTGATCAGGGTGACATTCCAGATCTTACTCAGGTCAGTGTGCATTTCACATTCATCTATATAGTATCATTTCCAATTCCTTCCATGCCTCTGTTTATTACTTTATCCATAAACCATTGTCCTGAGAAGTTTTCTCTTCCATATATTTTATATATGGAGACCCTTCATGTGAACTGGTGAACTCATATGTCATTATCCACTGGTGGATTTGGGTCTTAACTGTTCCATTATTCAAGTTTTTCATCTTAACACAGTGTCACATTGTTCTGGTAATAATGGGCAAGACTTGGTCTGGTCAAACTTGTAATTGTCAACAGGTGGCTGAAGATTACCATGTGTTTGTGAACTTTTTTTGCCGTGGGCTAAATGTTCTTTAAAATGATCATGCCACATCTATGGTTATATAAATTAATAACTTATTATTTGACGTGTGTGTTATTGATAATGCTACAAATTGTGCACGTGTGGAGGGAGGGAGCTGTCTGTAAAAACGGATACATGTAAACCATGACTCTGCATCATAGTGGTGCCTGGCCTTTTGTCATGTTGGACCACATAATTTACACGCACATACTTATCAGACCTCATATATACCTTCAAATGGAATTGTGGCTAATGGGTTAAAAGTAGGGATGCACCGATATATCGGCCGCCGAAACATATCGTCCGAAAAGTGGCACTTTTGGCTAAATGCCGAAAGTGCCGTTTTCCTGCCGATCGGTGCATCCCAGGTTTCTGTGCTCCCCGCTGGGCGCTGCTCTGTGTCCCAGCGGGGAGGAGAGGAAGTGTGATAGCCGGCCGAGTGCTGCGGGAGGAGAGCGCTGTGAGCGGCCGGCGTCTCTCTTCCCACACCGCTCAGCCCTCTGTCACAGATTGGGAGATCGGTGTGGGGGCCGAGACATCCAGCGCTGTCACAGGAGGCTGTGCTCTCCTCCCTACACCGCTCGCTCAGCCTCCTGTGACAGCGTGTCAGGGAGGAGAGTGGGTACAAACAATCAGTGATCGCTGAGTGTTTGTAGATAATTGAGGACATAGCATGTTGACTATATCCTCAATTATGAATGAATGGGAGTGAGCGACATCCCCTCCTGTTCATTCATAATTGTGGTTATAGTAAACATACTGTATTCTCAAGTTATCAATGAACAGGAACACTCATAGAGGCTTCCTGATCATTGATAACAGGGGACACAGAAAAAAAGATTGAGGTCTCTGTGTTCTCAATCTCTTTTTCTATTTTAAAAGGGAAATATCAGGGGTCTGTTTTTAGATCCCTAATATTTCCCCAAAGCCCGTAAAAGTAAAGTAAAAAATTAAAATATTTAATATATAAAAAATTAAAATTTATAAAAAATTAAACATTTGAAAAAATTAAAATAAAAACCATTTTCGGTCTGACAATTTTTTTTATTTTGGTTTTCGTTTTCGGTTTTTAAATTTCTATTTCGGTGCACTTCTAATTAAAAGCTTAAAAGAGAACTATGAGGTAAGTGTTTTTTTTCCCCATAGTTCTCTTAAGGGTCACAAGAGGACATATACTAGCATCCTCCAGTGACCCAAAGCTCAGTATATCGTGAGCTACAGCTCGCGGTATGCTGAGACCGCTGCAGCCGGGATGGATCCCGACATCACTGTTGAGATCCACCCAACTGCGTGAGTGACAGCGTGCTCTGCCTATCTAGAGGCAGAGGCAGCTGTGCCCGCCTTCTCAGCGCTGGAGGATCGGAGCAGCGAGGGGGGGAATCCCTGCAGGGAGCCGTGATTGACAGTCGCGGCTCTCTGCAGGAAGATGATCGAAAAGGTGAGTGAGCCACGGTATGTGTTCATTCCCCGATCTATTGAGCCGGCGTGTGACAGTTTCATTGTCACAGGCTGGATCCAACTGTGAGGATGAGTGATTTTCACTCGGCCTTATAGTTCTCCTTTAAGGAAGCTAGAGAATACTTTTAACATACATTTTGCATTTTACCTTCATTGTTCGGTCAAAACATAAGAGTGTATCCTCCCATTTACCTAGTCCACTCTTGAATACAGTTTACTGATCCCATTGATGCAACATTGGTGTGAATGAACAATAATCCTGTTCATTAAAAGAAAGTTTGATAGTTCTCATCTGCTGGAAATATGCGAAGAATGAACCCGTGTACCATAAAGTAACCAGTTAGCAGTAATCATCAGGCATCTTTAGCCAGAATGTGCATTATATACCTGGCTCTTATGAAATATCCAACCCTGGGGAACTGTAAGGCAAAATTAGTTTGCTGTGCTGTCTTGTTAGCTAAATCATAGTGCTTTGGGAACCCATTGTCATGTATTAATGTTTATTTGTAAAACTAAGATTGTGTATGTCTGCGTGTATATATAATATAGAAAACAGTTTCCAAAGTTGTTAGTTCAAAGAATAGTGGTGAGTATAACCAATGTACTGACCTACATCATTTCATATGGGCATAGCTCATTGGTTTTAGCCATTTTATGCCAGACAAGGAATTACCTTTTGTGACTAAGCAATCCCCGAAACCTGCACTGCTTTATGTGATATGGTATTCAGCTGTACATTAAAATATATTACTTGTAAAAATATTAATATAGAAACATATATGTTCTGATATCTAGAAGGAATTCATGTACGAAATGTTGACTTTTTGTTTGAAACAACCCTTTTTCTACGCTTGGTTATTGCTAACTGACAGCTATTCTTCTACAGGCACCAAGCAGCTTGCTGGAGGCACTTGAACAGCACTTGGCATCCCTTGAAGGTAAAAAGACAAAGGAACTGTCAGCTGCTAGCAGGTAAGTTCCACTAAAATTTACTGTCAATATATGGGTCACAATTTTGCTTTTTAAACTGTATTTATTTATTTTGCTGTCAACTACAAGTCTTTGTTGATATCCCAGCTTGGCCCAGACTGTGGCCACAGCTGCTATAAGCAGTTGGTTCTGTCTGAGTCTGTGGTGGGAACGAGAAAGTGCTAAGCTGTGGTTATGAATATTCATGACTTGTTTGGTGATAATCCAGTTAAAAGTACACTAATCTAATCAGAGGGTTGGTTCATTCTATTAATCTCTGTGAGAAATGTGTAGTTATCAGCCGTGAAAGCTATTAGTCCGACGCTGAATACTACCAAGCTGGAACCCTGACTCTAAATGCAAGTGTTATATTCTTCCCAGTACCTAATAGTATTTAGATAAAACTCAATACTACCTATCACTGTGCTATCCAAAACAACCTATGAAATGTAATATTAAGCTGCTGTGACAACGAAAGAACTGGAATCAGGTGGAAGCCTTGTTGTTAAGCTTGAGAATTGTGTATGGAGAACATTGAGCATTTTAAGATCTCTATAATGAAAGGTCCCTCATATCTGGTGAGTGTGTAATTCTGAATGTAGACCGAGATCACAGTGGGAGCACCAGAACTGGAAATTTAATTTCAAGACTTATTGGAAACAGAGACTTTTGTTCACCATTTTGATTTGGACACATGAGGGCTGCATTGAGAAAATGTTTATAAAAACTATGTTTTGTTTTGTATAAATTATTTAGTGTTGTTTACCCTGTATACTTTTATGATTAATTGTATTCAGGCAAGTCATAAGAAAGTTTGATTGGTCATTAAATCATCATTAAAATGTATCTCCAGTTTTGTTGACCATAATATCTCCTCCAGGAGATAGATGGATATCCATCTAACTTTAGGATTGCTTGTGGGTTCACGCCTTAAGGGCAGGTTCACACCATTTTCCCGACCAGATCTGGGTGTGAAAAAATGGTGTGAAACTGCCCGCAGTTCCAGTGCATTCCACTGCAGTGGTGTGAACAGGAGCCTGAAATAGCATAGGGATACATTAGGATGCATTTTGGGTCCGGAAACAATCTGATGTGGTGCGTATGGCCTTACAGTTTACAGAACTCCCCAAGGAAGCAACATTTGATATTTTGTTTACTGTTCTAGAAAACAGAAGTTGCTGATTAAAATGGAAAGATAATATTTAATAATGCGCTGTTAAAGTGACTACTGTAGTGGTTATATGTGCTATTTCTTTCCTAAATTGGAGTTTTCCTTAAATGGGAAATTGGCAACTGTAGTATTAGTTTAGATGAATATTACATTTACCCTATGAGGAAGAAATATTGTGCAATATGTCCTGTATTCCTCTTTATTTAACCATTTTTTTTCTCCTTGATAGAGCCAGCACATTATCCAGTGCGGTATCATCTCTTGCTTCGACTGGTTTGTCATTTTCTAAAATGGATGAAAAAGAAAAACAGCAGGCTCTGGAAGAGGAGCAGGCACGATTACAAGCCCTTAAGGTAATGGTAAGAAAGCATTTTTACCACCTTAGTTCCAGAATCTTTCACTCTCCACCCTTAATCTTTGCAATACTAGACCAAATGTTGATGTTATTGTGCACCGGTTTACTCAACAATAAAATCCACTGGTATGCAGAGTAGTTAAAACATTAAAGTGTATTTCCACTTTTGCAGTTACGTTTAAGAAAACCTCTCAATATGTTTGTGTTCCTATTCGCACAGCATACCAAAAAAAAATGCCTTGCCTTTTTAGATGCTTTTGTTGCAGCAGGCAAACTGGCTGAAAAAGTCTGCCCTTATGGAAAGACTGACAGGGCTATTCACAAAAGGGTGAAGAGTCTGGAGAAGGCAGGAGAAGTGAACAATCTAGGACAACAGAGCCGATTTTGGAAAAGGTTTTCCGTTCAGCTATGTTGTCCTAGATCGTTCGCTTCTCCTGCCTTCTCCAAACTCTTCACTCTTTAGTGAATAACCCTGTAAGATCAGAACTGTGTAGAATGTGTTTTTTTTTCATTAACATACAATGCAGAAGTCAGGGTTGCAATCGTTTAACCCTTTGTTAGGACATGCAGGGTTCAAATTATAATGACATCCCCCAGCACAGTACAGACCCCTCACATCCCCTCCTAACATTACAAAGAAGGAGAAGAAAAGTAAAGTTTTAGCACATACATTGCAATTTAAACGGCAAGAACTTTTTTTTTTTTAGCTTCTGCTATGTGAATTGGAACATGTAACAAATATAATTGGGATGTTATCCCAATTTGGCTGTGAAGTGGAAATACACTTTAAGCCTTTTTTAGGGCATATGGGACCTTAACTTGGTAATGGAAAAATACCCAATATATATAATAAGCAAAGAAATTCCCCAAGCGTGAACAAGTCACAATTTTCATGCTCTCACTGTGATCAGCCTGATTGGTAGCCATTCAGAATGGTAAATGATTTCACTACCATATTCCACAGTGGTGCTCGCAGGCACTGTGCATGGCTTAAGTAGGACTTTAAAATCTTAATATATTGCAATTATATCAGTCCTTACCAGATGCAGGAAACCTGTATTACAGGTGCACCCTGTATTAAGTCTTTCTTTCCAAAACAAATGTTTGTATCTCTATAGTAGAAAAAAACTAACCACAAAATGTACACAAAACTCACTAGATCTCTGTTGTCCACTTATGACCTATGAATCCACAAATGTGGCCCTCCACCTTAGTTAGCTGCAGACTTCTCCTGGAGTAGCAAATAGAGAATAATGTTGTGCCTAATGAACTGGACCTCTTGCTTCACATTTAGAAATCTGTAGAATGAGACATAATGACTGATCATACATACGGCTCTTCACTCACCTCAGGGCTCTACAGCCAGAGTGGTCTAGACTTCAATAGGGGGAAGACATGTGTTGTACTTCTAGTGTGAGTTTAACATCTAGTTATAAGATGACATTGAAATGTGTGTAGTTCCAATCATTAGGCAAGTGGTGTTTGGTTGATGGAATTAGGATCTGGAGGGATGCATTATTCAGATGGAGAAAAATAAATCACTATTAATGTCCTTTTAAAGCAAATCCACAATAGGGGCTGTGATTATTATATGAATGCTACTTTTTTTTTCTGGCCATTCACTTTGTATGAGAAAGAAAATCTAGCTTTCATGCCTATGAACTTGGACAGCACTGACCTGTATAATTCATGCATATTCAAAGTGCGCAACAAGAGCTTGTTTTCTTCTGTCAAGGAAGGAAGGAAGAAACGTTTGATAACCTTTTTGATAACTTTGTTTTGGTCTGCAGCAGTCATAACTCACAATAACACACTTTTGCACTTTCCTGATGAAGCTCATAACTCCAGATACTTTGTACTTGGTGAAAGTCATGCTAACGTTCTCCAAAATACTGGGGTAGTTCAGTGTTATGCATTAATGTGAATTTACTAAATTTTAGGAGCAACGACTAAGAGAAATTTCTGTGTCAAATTCTACTTCTACATCAGCCTCACCTAGCACTTTATCTGGGAAAAGTGTCAATACTACAGCTGTTGATTTGTTCTCAACACCTGCACCAACCACAAACAGGTGAGTTATTGCCTTCTGTCAGTCTCATAAGTAACCTGCGCGCGTGATCATCTTACACCGATCTGGTTGAATTGTGGTGGTGCTGGCATTATGTGGCTTTTCTCCTGCTTGCACTGATGCATAAATGCATGCTGTTGCATTCCAAGCGGGTAGGTTTATGGAAAGCTGTAGGCAGTCAAATTGTGCTCGAACATCCCATTGCACTCTGACATCTATGGCTACATAAATCATGCATGATCATTTATTTAATTGGTAACAGTCGTAGTAGCTATTCTGTGACTATTAATATCTGTTATTCAAGGATCTGTGCATGCAGATAAACTAGCTAAAGATCCTGCTGATAATGCAAACGTGTACAGAATAAACATGCATAACCAGAAAATGATATATGTGCTAGTTTTGTGCTGCGTTGGTCACCATTTTCCAGCTAAAAGAGCTTTAACCACTTCAAGACCAGGTGTTTAGACCCCCTTCCTGGCCAGGCCATTTTTCAGTATTCAGTGCTGCGATACTTTGACTGATGTTAATTCCGTCATGCAACGCTGTACTGAAATGAATTTTATAAAATTTTTTGGGGAGAGATAGAGCTTTATTTTGGTGGTATTTAATCACCACTACGGGTTTTATTTTTTACATTGTTAGGAAACGCTTATTATTACCTAGTTTTGACGGGGTCACGTCAGTTAAATAGACACCAAACATATCAAGCTTTAAAATTGCGCGCACCTGCGACATCGCAGAAAACTACCATTCGCTCGTGCGCGCACGAGGGGGGCGTGTCTGAGCGGACGTCTAAAGATGCCCGCTCAGATCTAGAGAGCTCCGGCCGGCCGTTTTTTTTTACTACGGCCGGCCCGGAGGTGGTTAAACATGAGGGGGGGCAGTATTGTTCAATAGAAATTCAACTGTTCATGTCTCTCCTGTTTTGTTCTCATGACAGGTATGCTTAAACTAAGTTGTAATTAGATGATTTTTTTTTAAGCACACATATCATAACAGAAGTATGGAGGATACCTCCTTTCCAGAAGTCTAGTTGCCTGACTTTATCTGCCTTAAGTACTTTGGAGTCACAGTCTCGGAACAAACATGCAGTTAATGAATGTCGGAGAAAAGTGAGAATTCCTGATCTCCTATAGTTGTTTGAAGTCATTGACTCAAATTACTGACCGCAAGGCATAAAAGCCAGGCAGCATTTTCAGATGTCCGCTGTGGCAGGCTTCACATATCTCATATTATTTATTATTTCTTAATGCCGATTTAATATTTTGAATTGTGTGCTTAACTACCTTCCGTCCATGGCCGTTCGTGAACGGCCGGACGGACGTCTGCGAGGAGCTGGAGGGCGTCTTAAGACGTCCTGCCCCTCCCCCTTCTCGTGTGCGGCACTCAGCGCGCACACGAGAGGGAAAACTGTAAGCATGTAAACAGCCAGCGATGGCTGTTTACATACAAGCGATCAGGCGTCTCTAGAGACGCCCGATCGCTTGCAGGAGCTGCGAGTGTGCGCCTCCCCCCGTACCTTTGTCTGCTCGTCGCCGCTGCCGGTCCGTGATCCGATGTGACCGGCACGGCTGGGACCGGCACGGCGACGCTCTAACAGCAGATCAAAGGGAGATCATTACTTGATCATCCCTTTGATCTCTCTTCCTGTCCCCGAATGCAGGAAGTGATGTATATTACATCACTTTCTGCATTCAGTGTCACTCTCCGGTGCAGAACACCGGAGAGAAGCTGATGAAGCAGATGAGATGAGAAGCAGGTCTTGGAGACCCCTGATGTCTCCATAAAGAGGACCTGTTTGGTGAATTGGCTATTACATAGGGGATTCCTTAGTCCCCTATGTTATAGCAATAAAGTTGTCTAAAAAAAAAAAGTTAAAAAAAATTACAGCATTAAAAAAAAATAAAGAAGCTAAAAAAAATATTCACAAATAATTATTAAACAAAATAACACAAAAAATGTTTTAAAGTCCCCCGCCCCCCCCACATACACACGCAAACATGCGTCAGGTGCGCCTATGTACAAAAACAACGATTGCGCCCATTACGCCGCACGTTATATATCGCCGCGAACGTCGCAGTGAGAACAATAATTCTAGGGCCATTAATCACTGATGACACTAAACTGATGAGCGGTAAATACGTTTAAAGCGTCCCCTGTTGCCAATTTTGGTTGCGGGAAATTTTCTGCGATTTCGTGGGCGCGTGCAATTTTAAAGGTTGACATGTTTAGTGTCTATTTACCCGACGTGACCCCGTCTTTTTATATTATACCAAAAAATTGGGGTGAAAATAAATGTTTCATAACATTTTATAGGGAAACATGTTTTTTTTTCAAAATTTAGGGTACTTTTTTTGTTATATAGTAAAAAATAAAAACCCCAGTAGTGATTACCACTAAAAGAAAGCTCTATATGTCCCCAAAAAATGGTATGAAATTCATTTCAGTACAGCATTGCATGACGGAATAAACATCAGTCGAAGTATCGCAGCACTGAATACTGAAAAATGGCCTGGCCAGGAAGGGGGTGAAACACCATGGCCTTTAAGTGGTTAAATATCTGAATGTGATCATAGCTGAATGTTTGAAGTTTTTAGGTTGTGGTTGGGAGGGCTGAGGGTGCTGCAAAACTAGAAGTTAAAACGTATAATTATATGCAAAAACATTTAAAAAAATAAAACATAAAGTTACCAAAAAGGTAATTGCTTACCTCTGTCTCCGCCGTTCTCTCCCGTCCAAAGAGCTGAAGTTTCTCGAGCGGCTGAGCAGGATAATGAGGTAGGCACATGCACCATACAGATCTTTGGCGGGAAGAAGAGGAGAGACACAGTGGAGGTGAATTCATGCAGCCGCGAGCGTGCATGTCGGACAGACTCCGTGGGACAGGTAGAGAAAGGAGTCTCTGCTGGATCAGAGACCGGCACCAGTGCTGGAGGGATTGCTGAATACAAGTGGAAGGAAGATCGGCTCAAGAGGCATCATTTTAAGGTAAGTCCTTAAAGCAGCAAGGGGGGGGGGGGTATTTGTGACTTTACTGTTGGACCAAGAAATGAAGCCATCTTCTCTCTTTACATTATTTGGAGTTGGTCACTATAAACAGATTGTTTTAGCATTCACTGATGGGTACAGGAATGATTTGGACAATGGCAAACTAAAAGAATTGTGCCCAGCCTGGCATAGCCCTCCTACTCCCAGCATGCCTGGTTTTTGCTAGTGACCAGGAGGATGGAAATTATTTTTCTTCTCTACTGATAATAGTCTAACCTTTTGTTGCTAGCCATATATTTCATGAATTAAGATGACCCCTTTTTTTCTTCAGTGAAGATTCTTCTACAAGCTGCATGAGCTGGTTTCCATACACAGCTATCTGGATCTGCATTCCTTCAGCAGTAGCGTTGTACTTGACCCTGATTGACTGAATGATTGCGGGGCTAGGAGGGTTCCTGAACTGTCATCTTTATCCTGTAAATAACCTTTTGGTCTTGCATAGGTGGTGTTTAGGCCCAGAACTTTCTTCCTTCCTACGCTAGTTTTGGCCTTTTCACCTCAACAAAAACATTGTTCTTCTCTCCCTCTATCCAGCACAGGTTCATCAGAAGGAGATTCCCCCTCCTTTGTCTGTACACTCTCTACTATATTTGTGAGTGTCTTTTGGACTTGTCAGCATCAGGCTAGTGTTTCACAGATTTGCAAGGCCCCCAGCTGGTCTAATGTTTACACATTCTCCAAGTTTTACCAGGTGGGTGTTGAGGCTTCATCTGATGCCATCTTAAGGTCCTTCAGGGGGCTTTGAGCTGCAGGCAGTCCCCAACTCTGTTTTTGTGAGCCTGGTAGTGTTTTGTTGCTGTTGCCCACTCCTCAGTTGGACTGCTTTTGGATGTACCAGCAGTCTCTGATTTCCTGTGTCCCTCAGTGAACACTAAAGAAAATGGGATTTTTGTATTCCTATCGCCCGACATCCGGGACATGCAGTCCCGTGTTTTCTTTCTACATTTTAGGAACCAGGGGTCTTGCTGCACTCCTTACCGGAACATCTAGGGACCCGTGAAGAAGGGTGGCTGATTGTAGTAACCATGGGTGGCACTGTGAGAAACTCAAATGAAGAAATAAAGTCACCAGCACTCCAAATGGTAATTTAGCAATAGTCCATTTATTGACACATCATTCCAAGCCTGATAAAGGGGACCCCTTGAGGCCCCGAAAGCGCTTGCATAGAATGGCAATGTGTCAATAAATGGACTATTGCTAAATTACCATTTGGAGTGCTGGTGACTCTATTTCTTCATTTTATTTCTTCTTTCTACATTTGGCCCTGCTGCTTATAAAGCAGGGTAGCCATTTTGTACAAGTGATTTTGGTGGCTGTATAGCCACCCAGATAACTTGTAAGCAACATGCTTGTCCGTCCCGTCACCCCCCCTCCTTGGCCCGTCCCCTTCGCCGGCCACCTCTCTCTCCGTCGTGGTTTTTGGTTTGGGATCCAGGACCACGGCAAATAACTCCCAGGATGGAGAGCGAAGAGCAGACCAGAGAATGTCGGTTCTCCAATCTGCTCTGTGTGATCAGTGACAAAGGAGCTCTGCACTCGCAGCGCTCTGGTCTCACCTGTCACATGTGGGGCTGAACAAAAGATCCAGCACATCTCCTGCATTGGAGTGCAGGCTTCATAAAGAGAGCCTGTCACCTTTTGAATGTTATCACACTGGAGCTTGTTAACACCTGTTTGATAGCAATAAAGTTAAGTGAAAAAAGTAAAAAACTATTTAAATTAAAATGTAAAAAAATGTAATTGATAAAAAGTTAAAAATAAAACCCAAAAAATAAAATGAAAAAAAGTAAAAATATGAATAAAAACCAACCCTGTTGCCCCCGACATCTGCATGTGAATAAACGCACGCGTAGGGCATTGTGTCTGTGTGTGCGTGCTGACTGCTGAAATTAACACGCACAATGTGCATTGAAAGGTAAGGTCACTTTCCCAAGTAATTTGGGAAAATAGAATTCCCCACTCAACTCTGGCCCTCGGTTCCCCCCCGCTATACTTGCCTTTCACCCCTGCTACACTTGCCTTTTGGCGAGAGGTTCCTTCCTGTCCGCCGTATGGGTGTATCTGTATCCCGTAATGCCTTCCAGCGCAGCCCTGCGATTTTGGATTTTGAATTTCATTTGCAAATTTTCAGCACTATTAAATATGGTTTTGGTTCAAATTAATTTGTGGTATCGCGACAAGTAGATTGTCATGAAGGACATGTAGATCGAGTCCCCGCTTTATTCCTTGGACCAGTTTGTTTATTTTTTGGGGGGGGTTTTTGTTTGTTTTTCCCACACCCCGGCATAAAATCCATTTATTGTAGTTCATTGGGAGACACAAGTATCTCTGTTCATGCTCTCGGTACTGCTTTCTACAAAACAGAGGCATGCTTGGAGGAGTAGAGGTTATACTGGGTTGGCCAAAGTTCTAATGCTTACCAGTGTCCAAATCCTTCGGCAGGTGACAGGGTAACGGTCTCTGAATTCTTGTGTCCCTCAATGAACTACAGTTTATTTTATGCTATACCAATCCTTGTATTCATATATCAGATTTCTTAGTGATATGATGGCCTGTTTTGATGGCAGATTATTATTGTTGCGTATGGATTATTAAGTTATTCTAAATGCATGAAGCTATATTTTGAATTGATGTTAAACATGCAAAATCACCAACTTTATATTTTTTGTTTAGTGCAATCAATACCCAAACTTTCTTTTTCAGCATGCCCAATCTTAGCAGTGATCTGTTCGACCTGCAACCAGCATTTGTGCCCACTGTACAAAGTACTCCTGCCATTGCAACTTCTGTAAAAAGCACATGGGGAGGTGAGATTAGTTTTCTTTTTCTCTCTCTCTATTCCCCCCCCCCCCCAGTGTTTCATTCAATTGGTTTTTGTGTTT